GCACCACAAACAAACTGACAGTGACACATCACAAACAGACAGTGAACGCACCACAAACAGACAGTGAACGCACCACAAACAGACAGTGAACGCACCACAAACAGACAGTGAACGCACCATAGCTGAACCAACAGCTGTATAAATTCTGAGTCCAGTATGCAATAAACCCTACAAGACCTGGACCCTGACTTGGACCCAGAGTCTAGCCCAGACTTGGACCCAGATCCTGACAAAGAGTCGGACCAGGTGCGGTCCTCTCAGGTGAATTTACCTGCAGAGAGAGGATCCCGAACAGAGCACAGCAGGCGGGCTGGACACAGTTCCTGCTGAGGACCAACACACAGCCGCCTGCACACAAACACACAAACACACAAACACACATCAGGTTCTTTCATCCACAAACAACCGGTTCTGACGTAAAGCAGAACCAGGACCTGGTCCTGAACACGGAGCCATTACCCAGCTGTCCCAGCAGGTTGACCAGGACGAAGACGTTGGCGAGGACATGTCCGCAGCTCCAGGTGGACTCCATGTACTCGCTCTGATCCGACCACTGGAACCACATCCGGACCGCGTCCTCCAGGAAGGTGCTGACCAAACAGAGCCGGGCCGCATGGGGCAGGTAGTGTTTGGTGACCCGCAGGAACTGCAGGGAGCGGGACAAAGCTGACGTCACCGACACCTCGGGTTTGGTTCTGATTCTGAACCTGACAGGAACTCTTATTTTGAAATCTTCCTCTGCTGATTTAGCTTTTAGCTTTACCTACTTTAATGCTAAATTAGTCTTTTAGCTAATGTTTGTTTGTTTTAACTTCTAGCATCTTTCTTTTAGTATTAGCTTTTGGCTTTTTTAACTTTTGTTTTGCTAATTTAAAGTTTAGCAACTGTCTTGCTAATTTTGTCTCTTAGCTAAAGTTTAGCTAATTTTTGCTTTTAGATAACTGTAGCTAATAGATACTTTTTTCCTTAATGTATTTAGTATTTATTTTAAAAGTTTATTAATTTTGTATTTACCATTTCCACATCTTATTTTTTACAATACATTCATGTATTATTATAGTCTACAGTATTTATTTGATATATTACTGTATTCTTTTGACATTTAGTTTATTAATATTTTGTAAATACAGCCTTATTTTATTTATTAATTCATTCATTCTGTTATTATTTACTCTGTGAACTTATTTAGTTTACAAAACTGACTACAGGCTGATCGCGTCACAGAAAAATCACATAAAACTACAAAACTGTCTAAAGAACTACAACTACTTCCGGTAAGACGGTGAGGTTAACCTGTTGCGCCAGATTTAAACCGTTTAAAACGTTTGTTGTTTTATTAAGTTAAAATGTTAAATATTCAAGATAAATTAAATAATTTTAAATAAAAAATAAAAACAAGTCTGCGAACTTGTTAAAGCGTGCCGCCAGTTTTCGTTGAAAGTTTAGTGAATTTAAGGTTTTTCTGCTCCTCAGCAAAACCCGGAAGCATCTCATCTATAAGTTCAACACTAACAAACATCATCAGCGTTTGATCTTTTATTCGGCTTAAAGAAAAACCTCAAACTTTTATTTCATTTGTTGTTTGTTGATGATTTTATTTTTCTTATTCACCGAATCAAAAGACGCTCATTTCCTTTAAAAGTTCAGGTTTAGCTTTTAAAGCATCAACAGGATCTGAATTTAGCCGCTGGGTTTATGACACCTTCCTGACACCGGTCTCACAGCGGGATCATCCAGAACCAGGATCAGAACCGACCCCCATCCCCATCAGAGAGCGTGTTTCACGGCGAAGCGGAGCTCACCTGGTCGGCGACGTCCTCCGCCCGGCTCATCAGGTCTCCGTGTCCCATCTCTTCCGAACGAAAGGCACTTCAGTGCGGAGAAACGGGTCCCGACACAGGTTCGGTCCGGTTCGCTGTGATGATGAACCACGGCTGTCTCCTCCGACCTGCGATCCTCCTCCAGCAGCAGGAGCGCGCCCTCGTGTGGCCGGGAAGTGTGACGCATGCCACGTGGACGAAAATCTCTTTTTTTATAGCAATAAACAAATAAAATGTGCAATTCTTAAAAATTACTAAATAATATTAAACACGTTGACATTTGTGGTTTAAGATGATTTATATCAGTTTAACAGAAAATATGATTTTAACTCCAACAAGATGTTTATTTTTTCAATGATACTTTTATTTTGTTCTGCACATTTTAAACACCTGCTGCTAAAGGCAATAACGTTTCTGCAAGTTTGTCTGTTAGCAAAATATCTCATTAACAACTGGGACAGTTAAAGGTAGCTGCCACAACTTCAACAAACAATAAAAAGTCTTTAATTCAGCTCCTTCAGCTTCATGCGGTTCCTCCAGCCGCCACCAGGGCTCAGCCTGATCCTGACTTCCTGTTTGGATCAGTTTGGTCCAGCTGCAGCAGGTGGGTCTAGCTCTGCGGGAAACGATGTTACCAGGTCAGGTCGGAGCGGATCTGCCCTCACCTTCGTCCTCTTCTTCTTCTCGTCTTCTCTTCTGAGCTCTGTGGTTCTAAACAACAAACAAACAAACAAACAAACAAACAAACAAACAAACAGATGAGTCAATCCTGGTTTACACCTAATTTAAACCATAATAAAACACATTCCAGCATCCAATAGGAGACTTTGTATTTCTCCCCACGAGGTGTGTGTTACCTGCAGGTGGAGGCGGTGTGTGTGTGTCCTGCAGTGTGTGTGTCGAGCTGTAGCTTCTCTGTAGAAGAACTTGTTACAGAGTCGACACAGGAAGCCACAAACAGGAACCACAAAACTACTTCCTGTGGAGACAAAGCCAGCTCCATGAGGAACGCCTGCTGACCTTTTATCTTCGCAACTTCCAGAAGAGACCGCGGGAGGGGGGCGGAGCTTCATCTGAGCAGAGAAACTCACCATGAAGGTCGTCCTCCTCTTCATCGGGCTCCTCCTCTTCATCGGGCTCCTCCTCTTCATCGGGCTCCTCCTCTTCATCGGGCTCCTTCGTCTCGATTGGCTGAAACACAAACCAGGTGAGACTCTGGAAACGTTTCAGACTCGCTGTGAGCTGCAGGATGAAGCTGAACGAACCTCAGGAGGCGTTCCTTCACTCTGCTCTGGTTCCTCTTCATCAGCCACTTCAACCTCCTCCTCCTCCTCCTCCTCCTCGAAGCAGCCGACTGCATCCACTGTGATCAGCTCCTCCTCCTGAGCCTCCTCCAGCTGCACCTGGCAGGTAAAAAGCTCAACTTTACCAGGTCTGAAGTCCTCTGTGGTTCATCTTCTGCAGACATGAACAGGTGGCTGTTGCCTGGCAACCACAAACAAACAAACAGTGGTGGGCAGCGCTAATTCAAAAATTAGCTCCGCAATTTCTAAAGCGCTTATGAAAATATTTAGCTCAGCACTTTCAAAACCGCTTATTGCATAGAAATATTAGCTGAAGCTAATTCTAAAACGCAGGTTCAATTTGACATTTTCTAGCTGGCTACAGTTGAACGCTGCCCCCTAGTGGTGTATGAACCCTCGTACAGCTCGTTTTACAACCGCTGGATGCTGGGGGTCTGATTTCCTCAAACACAACTTTGACTCCTGGGTGTAAAAATTAAAAACTTGTTGAGGCTTGCTCGGCTGATTCTTTAAAAAGTTGTTGAGGATTGCTATTTCGGCTGCTTCTTTGTCTTTTTCTGTTGTTGTAGATTTTTCATTAAAGAAGCATCAATAAAGTAATTTTAAAACTGTTTATTGGAAAACTGAAGCGATGCATTCTGGGTACATGATGGACTGACGGGAAATGAAAGCACGGGTAACAGGAAACTAGTATCTTCCCTTCAAAATAAGAGCTTGAATTTTAAAGTTTTTCATGTTTCCATTGGATTTTAAAGTTTCCCAGTTCACCTGAAACTCATCAGACTGAAGAAGTCTCTTGGAAGAGAGACGAAACGTTTCACTAAAGAAGAACCATCCAGAGGACCTACTGATTTTTTCTTTTTGACTTTATGCATCGGGACGTTTTCCATGTAGCTGCAGCTGCTCCAGTTGACCACCAGATGTCAGTCTTTGTCAGCATAAGGCTAAAACCCCGTTGCTTCGACGAATTACATCAAGTATTGAGCTCCAGCGTTAAACTTTATTTTTTTAAAAAGGAGCTCTGATTGTAAAGTAAAATAAATCAATACATGCAAAATTTTAGTATGGATTACAAATGTTTACTGTTTTTGCTGGGAAAGGGGGTTCTAAACACTGTCTTCCTGCTACATAAGCAGACACAAAGCATTGTGGGAAATGCCTCTAAAATGTGGATCCTGCTGGCTGCTGAATATTGTCTTTTGCACTGTGTTTATTATAATTTAACAGAAGCCATATGAGTCATTTAGATTGCTGCCAGCAACAATACTTTGCACAGCTGACCTACTAAAACGAGAACCGACTGAAGCGTGACCCAAAGCGACAGTCAGGGAGGACGTACACCTTCACTAAAATAGTGTTCAGCCGGGAGGGGAGCTGTTGGATGGATCACATGTGTTGTGAGTCCTGACAGCAATTCCTTCTGCTGTTCAAGATAATGATGAATAATGAAAATTAATTAGCGGAACTGCAATTTAAATTTTAAAAGTGCAAATCCGCTTATGAATTATGAAAATTAGCAAGACTGCTAAAGCGCAAACAAAATATTTAGGTTCGCAATTAGCGGATTTGCGCTTAAGCGGAATGGTGCCCACCACTGCAAACAAACAAACAAACAAAAAAAGAAACAAACAAACAAACAAAGTGTCTTCAAACCTGCTCTTTGTGTTCTGCAGACTTCATGTGCTCCACAAACTTCCTGGGGGTCCTGAAGTTACGTTTACACACCGGACAGAAGGGCCGACCCAGCTTCTTTGACACCTGGAACACACACACACACACACACACACACACAGTCAGCGTCCATCACCTGGACTCAGCCTGTCCTCTGGGACATCCCCCAGCGTCTCACCTTGTGCTGTTGGGAGCGTCGGTGGACGATGACCTCACCTGTGAAGTGGACCTGACAGGTGTCACACCAACGCTGGGTCTGAGGCCGCCGCCCCCTGACGACAGAGACACACATCGTCCTCAACATGGTGGGCAGTACTGATGGACATTTGTCCTGTTCCAGCTCTAAAATGAAGGGACACTGAGTCCAACAGGTGTGTGTGTACCTGTCCAACAGATATGTGTGTGTGTGTACCTGTCCAACAGGTGTATGTGTGTGTATACCTGTCCAGCAGGTGTGTATGTGTGTGTATACCTGTCCAACATGTGTGTATGTGTGTGTATACCTGTCCAACAGGTGTGTGTGTACCTGTCCAACAGATGTGTGTGTACTTGTCCAACAGATGTGTGTGTGTACCTGTCCAACAGATGTGTGTGTGTACCTGTCCAGCAGGTGTGTGTATACCTGTCCAGCAGGTGTGTGTATACCTGTCCAGCAGGTGTGTGTGCCTGTCCAGCAGGTGTGTGTGCGTGTACCTGTCCAACAGGTGTGTGTGTGTATACCTGTCCAGCAGGTGTGTGTATACCTGTCCAGCAGGTGTGTGTACCTGTCCAACAGGTGTGTGTACCTGTCCAACAGGTGTGTGTGTGTGTTTACCTGTCCAGCAGGTGTGTGTGTACTTGTCCAGCAGGTGTGTGTGTGTATACCTGTCCAGCAGGGATGTGTGTGCTTACCTGTCCAGCAGGTGTGTGTGTACCTGTCCAGCAGGGGTGTGTGTGTGTATACCTGTCCAACCGGTGTGTGTGTGTATACATGTCCAACAGGTGTGTATACCTGTCCAGCAGTTGTGTGTGTGCTTACCTGTCCAGCAGGTGTGTGTGTACCTGTCCAGCAGGGGTGTGTGTGCCTGTCCAGCAGGTGTGTGTGTGCCTGTCCAGCAGGTGTG